TTACATCTTCCACTAGGTCCTGGGGGGCCCTGGGGGCCTGGAGCACCTGGTGAGCCTGGTAAACCCAGAGCTAATGACATAAAAAAAAAAAAACAACCCAAAACTAATCACAATGCAGATCACATATAGCTCTCCCTCTCTCCAACCCTCTAGCCAACATGGATCACTCAACTTGATGTATAAGGACCCTAGGGGAGAAGCATGGTTCTCATTTTTAAAGGCTTGCTTGTATTGTGAAGATAGTATCACTCTTACCTGAAGTCCCAGGAAGACCTGGACTCCCTGGCAGCCCAATTCCAGGTTCACCTCTTTCTCCCTTCTGTCCTCGGTAGCCTAAGTAAGAAATATATAAAAAAGAGACACATGAAAACGGTTCTATGGCAACACAGCACACACAAGAACCATTTACTGACTCTGTGATAATTATGTGATTCATTTGCTTAACATAAATTGTATATTAACTACCTGTTTTGCATTAACCACATAATAAACTTACATGTCAAACAGATTGGGTACAATAGGGCAATGAAGATCTTAAAAACATGCAATTACTGTAAAAATTTCCAACTTGTCAAACTCTTTTTTTTCTTTTTTGAGATAGAGTCTTGCTCTGTTACCCAGGCTGGAGTGCTGCAACATACACCTCCTGGCTTCAAGTGATTCTCCTGCTTCAGCCTCCTGGGGAGCTGGGATTACAGGCACTTGCCCCCATGCTTGGCTAATTGTTTTGTATTTTTAATAGAGATGGGGTTTTGCCATGTTGGCCAGGCTAGTCTCGAACTCCTGACCTCAGGTGATCTGCTCACCTTGGCTTCCCAAAATGTTGAGATTAGAGGGGTGAGCCACTGCGCCCAGCCCCACTAGTCAAACTCTTGAGAGTGAGATTTTGGCTCTGAAAATGATACCTAAATAAATCTTGCAACTAGCTACGACAAGTTGTTTGAGTTCTTTTCAATAGGAATTCTGATTGAAGGTGAGGCATAGGCTAAATGAAAGAAGTATACTGAAAGAGTCTTGCTTAAAATGAGAACAAGATAATATAATAGGAATATGAACCTTATTTCAAGAATTAAAGGAAATGAAAAGAACAAATAACTCAAGATTCTAATAAACCATAGCAAGAGCATATGTGAGCTAACTCATCTGAAAAGGTAGATCTGTGTTCAAATGATCGACTACAAACATTATATTCTCTTTAGGTAAAGCTTAAACATCTCCCCATGTTTGAATGTGGCAGTGTAAACCTCCAATGGAGCTTCAGCAAAGCTAGGAAACTAGAGGAGACTGAGAGAGTCTCCCAAATGCACTTCACCAATTTAAGCTATTTTAACCAAAATGAATTAGGTGTAAGATCTGTCTACATTTTAAAACAAATTATTCTTAATATGCTTGCTATTGGCTGATCTAGAAAGGTACAGAGAAATTTGTGCCTCTGGAAGTCATTATCCTTGCTTATAAAAAGCATAAAGCACTTTTATCTGGGTTTTATATATTGGTATCCATATCTATGTAATACTTTGAATGAAAGATTCCATGCTGTAAGAGTTTCACAGTGATGGTAAATAGAGTTTTTATTTCCAACTTTTTCATACTTAAACAGCCCCTTCAAGATCGCTCCTTGTCCCAAATGGACAGAGCAGCCGTGCAGACTCCTGTGGACACACAGCAAAGATACAGTAGGCGAGCATCTCAGTACAAAACAGTAAGCCATGACTTAGTTGTGCTTTTTCATAAAGGTGTGCTATCACAGCAGAATATGGCAGGAGGAGAAAATGTAATGCTCCCTATGAACAGTAAGTATGATCAATTATTTCCCACTATTGTTGAGAATTAGCAGTTTTTGGGGTTATCATTTTCACCTTTGACTAGGCCATACAATGTACACATTATTATCTGAACAACATTGGCAATGTAATCACCACACAGATATTTCTTTGCTTTATATGTATGACCTGATCATAAATGTGAAACTAGTGTCAAAAAGAATATATGTTAAAATATTTTGAAGTATATGGTAGCAATACACCCACCAGCAGAAAACTTTCACATATTTGTATTTGAAAATTGAGTTAAAGATACTCAATACAATCCTAGATCCTAGAGAGAACAGTGGCTTTGACATGTGACATAATACCCTTAGTTGATCTATATTTAAATTTAAAATATTTCCAGGATCTCTTTGACATAAGTGACTTTGATTTAACATACGTGAACAGCAGGGAAAAACTGTATATACTTAGGGTCATTTGAAAGCACCCTCCCAAATCCATTACTTAAACATTTCTGGAGTAAAATAATATTTATTACCTGAGATATATTTGATAGTTTAACTCAGGTCCCACTATTACAGAAAGGTTATAAAGTTGACCCTTAGCTATCACAGTAAGTACTTAAGATTACAGGCTAAAAAATGAGGAAGAAAGCATAATAATTGGAGATACATGAACTTTTGATTAATAAGAGGTTTAACAAGATTGTAACACAGTTCCAAATAAAGAATACATCTGCTAAAACTTACCTATTTCATTTAAATTCAGTTCTCAGATTTGCAATATAATGCAAAAATATATTACTCCACATGGATTTCAGTGCATACGGTATTATAATTAAGAAACTGTAATTTGTGTATTTGTATAAGGTAACATTTACCCTTCTCCTGTCAAGTGTAATAATTTATTTGTAAAAATTTCTCAGTGTGTTAGGTTAATAATTACCTGTTATTAATAGATAAAGTGGCTGAATTGCACAAGTACAGGAGAGGTTTCTACTCTTGAATTTCCTATTAAGATCCCAATCTCATTCATTGTAAAGGCTGCCATAAAGCCAAAGGGTCTTTTTTATTATTACTTCATAACAAAACTCCTGGTAGGGATGCTAACAAAGTCAATGACAGCTTTCCCCATTTATAGAATTAAGCTTTTCACCTCTTCAGGGTGAGCCTGTCTTTAAATTTGGAGGAGGCTGGTCTGTCTGCAAAGAGACATGTATTTCCATAGACTATAAGTCTACAGGATGGGCTGGGCACGGTGGCTCACACCTATAATCCCAGGACTTTGGGAGGCCAAGGTGGTGGGCAGATCACCTGAGGTCAGGAGTTCAAGACAAGCCTAGCCAACATGGTGAAACCCAATCTCTACCAAAAACACAAAAATTAGTTGGGAGTGGTGGTAGGCGCCTATAATCCCAGCTACTGGGATTATATGTGTTGGGAGGCTGAGGCAGGAGAATTGCTTGAACCAGGAAGAGGAGGTTGCAGTGAGCCATTGTACACCAGCCTGGGCAACAAGAGCGAAACTCTGTCTCAAAAAA